TCAATCGTTCAATACTTAAAAGCTTATGAATGATCCGCTTCAGGTTGAGGAAACTCACTATGTTGAACCAGTGGAAATCAATATGGTCGAAATCACTAAGGATTTCGACATAAAGGCTGAAGAGGTTGGAGAGAGCAGCGAGAATAAGAGGAATGTTGTCTATCCCAAAGCTGATGATGGTCTAGTCAACTTTCTTTACCAATGCAAGGCGAGGGAATCGAAGGTGATGTTGTGCCCTAAATGTAGCTCAACCTTTAACAAGAAAGTTGTCAAGGAAGTGGAAAATGCTCGACAAGAGAAACAAAAACAACGAAACAAAAAACCTCAGTTCTATTTCGACAAGAGGGGAGTTCCCCAGAAGAATCAGTAGTTCCTGACTCAACATAGGAACAAACCTAACACTTATGTTCTGACTTCTAATGCTCCTCAGGGGAAGTGGGTTTGACCAACTTGAAAAAAAGAACCTAATAACCAGAAATGAAGAAGCTTTGAAATGGGGGGAGGTTCCTCACTAACCTATCGTGTGAAATTCCAAGTGTCATAAAAGTGTACTTATGGGCCCAACAATTATAAAGGGAAGAACCAAATGTCAAGGACACAGTGGAGGATATTCCAAAGAAATAAAAAAGTTGAGAAGGAGATGGCTGAATCGAGTAGCAATAAAATATATTAATCACAAGTTAGTGATCAAGTTAAGAAGCCCGTGGGAAGGCAGTTATTTTCACCTATGCCAGTCAAGGTGAAGGGAAAAGCAAAGAAGTGCCACCATTTAAGGACGAAGAAATGGTGACAGACAACTTTGACTCAGGATTTGAGTGTGATTTTAATGTCATATGTAATGTAATTTCAGTGCTTCCCATCGAATACGACTGTGTTATAGAAGTGTCAGAGCCAATAGATTATGATGAAGAGGAAATGGAAAGGCACAAACATGTGTGCTATTTTGTAATGAACAAAGGTTGTATCAAATAACATAATGCATTCTTTGAAAGGACATATCATGGGATGAAGAATCACTTGAAGCCTTTATTTATAAGGGCCAAAGTGGAGAATGTTGAAGTAAATAAAACTTTGATTGATGATGAGGCAGTAGTAAACTTGATGCCTCATTTTTTGTCACTTTATTGTTTCTTTCTGAATTGCTTTCAATCAATGATGTGATTCTCTAGCGATCTTTTACTGGCTCCCCTGCATAGGATGTGAATCAAGATACTTCATAAAGTTATATGTAGTTTTTATATGAAAAAACTTGAAAGCAAATTCATATTATCTACTTTTAGAATCAACCTAGAGACATGACTCACTTTTTCATATGCTGAGACACTAATTCTTGATATGAAAGATGAAATTTGATGATGGTCAGGAATGTAATAAACAAGATCAACAGATCAAGTTCCGAGGTTTAAAAGAAGTTCAAAAATAAGAATTTAACTTGTAAGGATCATAAAATTACCTTTTAAATACACTTTATTTAAAAAAGTTTCTCAATTTGAAATTTTGATATAATCATTTTAGATATTTTAAAATGATTTTGAGTTGTTTAAATAGTTTAAGGGAAAGAATGTGATAGAAACTTGTACCAAATAAAATTTAACTAAATAATACAAAGGTTTTGTTGATAATAATTCTAGGAATTGGTTCAAAGCAAGAATGTTATACACATGCATGAAACAGTAGGTATCAAAAAGTTACAAAAGAACAAGAGGTCTATTAGTATATTAATAAAGGTTATTAAATTATTTATATGATTATTATTTTTTTATTACTATATAAATTAAGGTTATTAAACTATTTATATGATTAAAAAAAAAAGATAGTTGTCTTCGGTAGGATGGAAAAAATTAAATAATTTATTTTTTCAAAATAAAATTAATATATTTTTAAGCATTAAAAATAAATTTTATTGATGAAAAAATAAAAAATATTTAATAAAAAAAAAAGAGAACTACAATCACATTTTTTTTTACTAAATCAATCACATTTATTCAACTAAATTAATTACTATATTTTTCTAAAATTTATGATTATTTGATTATATTAATATTATCGATTAATGGTTGTCAACGAACTCTATTTGAATATGACAAATGTGTTTTTTTAAACATAGAGATTTAAAAATCATTTCAAAAATTTAATTTTTTATTTGTAGAATGAAGATCATGAAAATTGATAAATAGGTGTCTATTAATATTTAATTTTGTAAGATACCATAGAACAAAAATTTATTTAAATTAATTTAATATTAAAAGCAACTCAGACAATTCATCACTTTTGATTGACATTAAATTATTCAATAAAATCATTCTAAAATATTTATATTTTAATTTATTGGCTATAGTTATGAAATCACACGATTAGCTTTGAAAATATTATAGCCTTTTATTTATCATTATCATCAACTTAAAATATTAATCTCATGACAACAAATAGTAATCACATGATAATAATGTAATTAGTATAATGAACTCAAATGCTTTTTTTTTTGTGTGACTTTTCTCAACATCAAAATTTGCACTTCCTTAATTAAGATCATTTAGAATTTGGATGATATAATAATAGCTTTTCTTTAACTAAATTAAAAATTATAGTTAGTTTATATAATATAATAAAATAATAAAAATATTAAATTATTGATAAAAATATTAAATAATGAGAACATAAAGTTATTGATCAAAATATTTAATAATAACGAAAATATACTGATCAAAATATTTAATAATAACAGAAACATGAAATTACTTATCAAAATATTGAATAATAACGAGAATATTAAATTACTGATCAAAATATTTAATAATAATAAAACAATTTTACTATTGATTTAAATATTTTTAACAATAATTTTAAAACAAAAATAATATTTATATAAAAAAATATACTTTAGAAACAAATACGCGTACCATACTAATATTCGTGGGAACGCACGAGTATCATACTAATTTATTATTAAAGAAGTAAGTTTAATATGAAGAAAAAAGTTATGTTTAATTCCATTTAAAAAAAAACAATTATTAAAGAAGGACCAAAAATAATTTTAGATGCGTATAATTGATTTTAGATGATTTTAAAATATTTGGCTAAATAAAAATAAAATTTATTTTAGCCTTTAAAATTAGTTTTAGTTAAAATTATAATTTATAACTTTTACCTTTAAAATTGATTTTGTGTGATTTTTACCTTTAAAATTGATTTTGTGTGATTTTGTGTTGATTTTTATATTGATTTTTGTGTTGATTTTGTGTGATTTACCTTTAAATTTTTGGATTAGTTACAATATATTTTTAGTCGGAATTAATTTTAAAGAATCAATTATCTCGGTGGTTAAACCAAAAAGCAAGCAATTGAGTAATTGATTGGTGAAGCGGCCTGATTAAGCATCAGAAAATTAGGGAAATCGAAATCGTTATTGCTTGTGGGAACGATTTGACAAAGAAAGTGAAAATGGGAGATACGGTGGAAGAAAGCAATTCATTAGAGAATTCCAACCCTAATCCTAATCCCAATCCAGAATCTGAATCAGAAACAGAAACCCTAAAATTAGACGGTACGTCCTTCAATACCAACAATCAGAGAGAAATATTGAAAGCAATTGAAGTTGTCGAACGAGATTCCCTCGCCATTGCTCAGAGCTTCACTTCCGTCTTCGAAGCACTCCGATTGTCCCTCTCTCAATCCACCGACGCCTCAATCCATCACATTCAATGCTTCTCCGACGCCGCCGGTCATCTTCAAGAATCCGGTACTCATTCCCCTTTTTTTTCTCTCTAATATAATACTCAGATTCAGAATAATAATAATAATCATGATTTGTTTGTGGTTTGGTTTCAGTGCTTGATGCAGCAACTAAGGGGAATCGATATATAAATTCGTGTCTCAAGTAAGTTTTTATATGTTTTTTTTTTTTAATTTTTCAAAATTTGATGAGAAAGTTGAATGAAATGGATGAAGTTTAATGTTAAATGCTGCAGATTGAATGAGGAAATGAAGGGCGTTGATAGTCTAGCATCCCAATTGTATCCATTCACTTTGATCTTTGCTAGTTGTTAGCTTAATTTGTTTTGCCGTTTTTGTTTATGCTGCTTGAAAGGTTAAGCATTGATCTCACTTGCAAGTTGCAACAATGTTCATCCATTTTTATTTTTTAGGCTAGTATTTTGCTAGGTTTGTTGTTTGTTATCATGTATATTGTATACTCTAGCAGATATAAGATGTTGCGTTGGATATGTGGCAAGACTATACGAGATAAGAATAGAAATGAAAATATTATTTAGAAAGAGTGTTGGGGTAGCAGTTATAGTAGAAAATATGGAGGTTGCTAGACTTAGGTGATTTGGGCATGTAGATAGAGAGAGAAGACATAAATTATGTATTAAGGAGAATACACCATATGAAGGGTAGTCAAACCGATAGAAGTAGGGAAAGACCTAGAAAAATAATAAGAGAAACTAGTGAGAAAGATCTTGAGATAAATGAGTTGGATAGAAGTATGGTTTCTTCTAGAACATTATGGTGTAGTTTGATCCATATAGTCGACCCTACTTAGTGGAAAAAGGTTTGATTGTCGTTGTATATTATATATAGTCAGCCCTACTTAGAGGAAAAAGGCTTGGGTGTTGTTGTATATTATATTGTATGTATGAACTGAATTATTTGATTAGGAACAGTTTGGTGTTTTACATTTTCCTTCTTTGATCTTAGTTTTCAGTTGAAATCCTTAATAATTTGAAGAAAAATCCTGAGAAGACATGTAGATGTTCTGGACTCGGCTGTTAACAAGCTTCTTCACGTCTCTTGACACTTGGGAATGAGATTCATTCCTGTACAAGGTTTCTTTCTATATATCCCATAGCAACCTTTTAGATGAAGAATTTGAAAAATGTATGTATCTATATGTATTTGCCATTTCATATATTGTGCCGGGTTAGTGATGTGCGAACAGAGAAACACTATTTGGACAAGTAATATAAGGGAAGAGAATATTATGCTTGTGATTTAAATTGTTAGGTGCTTATTTTCCAAGTTACTATTATTATTACTACCATTATTCCTAACATAGATGCTGCACTTACACATGTCCCAGATAGTGATGTGCTCATATGTGCTGTTAGTAGTAATTTAGATACCAATAACTTGGGAACAAAATTAATTATCATCGCATCATTTGATACATTATTTTGTTCTGAAACGGGTTTTGTTGTGAATATAACGGTAAATGGTTGTGGATAGTGTGATGTCCTCTTGTTGAAGATAGTGTAGGGATCATTTACAGCCTTCCGCACTGTGCTTTGGCTGTAGAGTATCGGAATCCATAGAGAAAGCATATACGCCGAAAAAGATGGGAATTGCATTCCCTGATAAAGTTGTGTAGTTGATTGAGATTGATTTACCAACCATATAATATGAGTTACCCAATTTGCATTTAACAGTTTGGATTTGTTCCCTCCAGGCAGTCCTGGTCCAAAAAGATGGGGTGAGAACAAAGTTAAAAAAAAGGGTAAAAGGTAAAGTGAAGGCAAAAGAAAAAAAGATAGGTAATCTGACACTAAAATGTAAAAGACATGTTGACCAACTAGTTCTGGAATATGGAGTAAATTGGAAGCATAGTTGGGTGCTGCTGATGCACTTCTGAGGCTCTGACTAGAAAATGATAATTTATTTTTGGTGAGGCATGCAGTGCAATTTCCCTAATATTCTTCAATAACTTAAGTTTCTTATTGTGATCTGATTAATCAGGGCAAAAACCACCTACTGAGACTGGCTGAGATGCTGCATAATATTCTTTAAAAAACCATCAAAACTTGCTGCATCTGTCATCATATTTTCCAAATCAGAGCTAACTGCAGCTTTCTCCAACATGAAACATTGGCCGAACAGGATAGGAAAATATTGGATTAATTATAAGAGGAAAATAATGGATTGCTGTTAAAGGCCTCCTTAAAAATTGGGCAAATTCACAATACTGGAATTATTACTACACAAATAAGAGGAAGTCTATCCCCTAAGTTCTACCTCCAAAAGTTCACAAAACCTAAATTTCTTTCCAAATTATTATGAGTTTAATGGTAGTACACTGTTATTATGAGTGTGGGTGTAAAGAAGTATTACACATACATCTAATTAAAATATATTTAAAAGTGTCAAAATTTACTGTTTGATTTGGTGGAATACATGATTGTCATGTGTAAGTGCAGCATCTATTTTCTAAATTATTATACCTTCCCTTTTCTCAATTATTATTAACCAATTTACATAATGCAATTTACTTTCGTAACAAAGAATCAATGCATGATTTCCATGGAGTAATTAGGTTTCTTGTTTATGTTTTTTTAATCTCACGCAACTTCTATTTTGAATCTACCTTAATGTGTTTGAGTTGTGTTATTTTTTTAAATATATTTACATATTTTTCAAAATAAATAAAAGATTTAATAGTTATTTTGTCCTATGTTATATAGATGAATTTTGAAAAATTCCCTGTAAAAAAAAGTTTCAAAAATTTCTATCATGAAGATTTTCTTGTTGTCCTCTTTAAGATGTTTATCCATCAATAATCTATTAAATTTATGTGATTTTCTTTCTGTTTTAAAAGATTTATACATAATTTGCTCTTTTCAAACTGATGATTTTTTGAAAAATCCCTTGTGAAATTGGCGATTTAAAAAAAATCTCTTTAGCATATTATTTATTTTTGAAATTTTTTTTTACAAGGGATTTTCTAAAACTTGTCTATCTAACATAGACAAAATAACTATTAACTCTAAATAAAAAAATATAAACAAATATACATTTAAAAGACCACTCTCCAATCTCCAAACTTAAAAAAGTACTTAAATGATGAAGGCTATTAGGAACAAAACTTAAAGAAGTACTTAAATGATGAAGGCTATTAGGAACAAAACGCTGTGAGTAGAAAGAGGGTAGTAGTGAGCATGTATAATTTTGGAGATCCCTCTCTCTTTTGAGGAATATTAGAGCATCTTCAATGGTGCTACTTATATTTGAGTTTTTTGGGTTTTTTGTGGGACTCATTAAACCACATTATCTTGAAACAGTTCACTCTATTTTTCACTCTAATAGTGTAATTTTAAAAGAACTTATATTGGATCCGACAATTTTACATTGTATATTAATATTTTATTCATACTAAATTTTATATTAGGTTCCACAATTTTAATTAATTATTTTAATAATAAAAAAATATGAAGAACCGTTGCTTATATTTGTACCGTTCACCAGTTGAAACAACTTTTTTATTGACAATTTCAATGTCAAATTGACAAACCAATCTGAAAAATCACCGTTGGAGGTGGTCTTATAAAAGTTTTTGATAGCTAAGGTTTTTCTAAAAAAAGATCGCGGTCTATTTAATTAAAAGATGGACAATTAAATCTTTATTCTCAAATGAGACGTGAATAATTAACGACTATAACTTTCTCTTCATCTAAAACATATCTTATCCTACACTTCTTTTCTATAGGTGAAAAAATTTAAAGGGTGAAAAGATATCTTTATAGGCAATGTTATTTGTAAAATATAATACTACAATAGTCACATAGTGACATGTCAGTGAGTTCTATATGTTATAGTTATTAGTTATTTAACAAAATAATAATTATAATTAAAAATATTTTTTAATTAATAAATTCAATTTTATTTATTTTTACTTAATTCTCATTTGTCAATTAAAATCAAAATATTTCTAAATTAATTATTTGATTCTCTGTTATTAATTTTTGAATATTTTAATTAATTAAATTTAAATCTTTCCATTATTTTTCATTCTACTGCTTTTGAATTGATGATAATAGTCATTTTAATAATTTTGGTATTAAATGATTTTAAGGTTAATTTTTGTAAGAGATTTAATGATTTAATGATAATAGTCATTTTAATAATTTTGGTATTAAATGATTTAATGACTGCTAATTTTTAATAAATAGTTTTCAAAAATCTTGCTTTGAAATAAAATATAATATATAAAAAATTCTTGCATAAATTTATGTTTAACTAAACCTTTTATTTAATATAAATATCTACTAATTGGTTTATAATTTATTTTATCATTGCCTTGTCTTACTCTGAGTATTCAATAAAAAATGGTTTTCTCAAATTAAGTCTGTTATTTATATATGCATAATTTTGCACAAATAATTAAATTAAGTCTGTTATCAACTGTTTGATTAATCAAGAGAAAGAAATTAATAGCTACACTAATATTTTAATAAATATTATTTTATTAATTTAGTGATTGATATTTGTTCATCTCATCTCTCATTATAAAAAAGTCTCCAATTTAATATGCTCCACACACACATACATATCACACTTGATAACCTCTCGATACTAGTCATAAGAGGTCACACTTTCTACATATTTTTATGTAAAATTGTGGATCTTTTTCTTCTCCAAAAGATTACTCTTTTATAGTGTCTCTCAGTTGATGGAATAATGAGGAACCATTAATCATCTTAATGGTCTAAGATCTGTCATTGAGGCTTTGTTTGCGAGTTTAGAGGAGAGAGGAAGACTTTCGAAAACGAATTTAAAAAAAAAAAAATGAAAAATATTTGACATTTTTTGAAAAATGATTTTGTATAGAACCATATAATAGTGTTTATTATTATTATAATTTTAATTTTTAGAATACTATAACAACATAAAAGATATTTGGAAAATTTATCTAAGCCCTCAAAACACTTATTTAATACAAATTTTAAGTTCCCCAAATTAGGGGATTTTTGGTGTTATGAAGCAAAAACAAACCCTCCAAAACCTCCCAACCAAAATAGTTCTATTCTTTTCACCCAATCCTTCTCATTTTTCAAAGTTCTCCCCTTCATTCCTCTCCAAACTCCCAAACAAAGCCTAAGGAAATACACCAATGTTAGGTAATGGTCATTAATGGGGATTGAAAGATATAAATGCGGTTGTCTTCTGGGCTGTCGGTTGCCTGTGTCAGACATGGTTTATGGTTTAATCCGAGATATGATACTGAATAATGTCACAGATTCTGCTCTTGCATGAGCCTCATAATTCGTGGACATCTCCATTCCCGACGTTCCATTTTACTCTCCTGAACCAAAGGTGAACCATATTTGAGATACATTTGAACTTAGATGTCTCAGATGCTATGATCCTGATTGCTGAGATGTATATAGTCCCCCAAGCGTGAGGCCCAGAGGGACGAAGCACTTAAGGTTCTTGTTGTATTAACATGTGCTTCATCATATGAGATATATTAGTCTAGAGGGTCTCCTCCTATATCTATCATTAAAATATTATTTATTTAATGTATTTAAAAAGTCAACTTTTTCTTATAAATGGGAGCAGAATGAAGGAGGGGCCCCCTCTCTTTAAAATCTGTACATAGATATAAGAGAAAAGAAAGCTACAACCAAAGTGGGAGGATCCTATAAGAACAAAATTTGGTTCTGCATCCCGCCATTAGTTTTGATGATAACAATATATTGTTTCTTAGAGAATAATTTTGTATCCTAACGGTTTTCTCTAGTGTGTAGCTTTTGCTAAAAGGTTCTGACTCTGATAGAAGGGCGTGTGACATTATCAATTTATGAATCAACAAACTCTGACTCTGGAAAGCTTCTAGTACGTGTTACTAAGATCTAGTCAAGTTATGGAATATCTCTAGACAACGATTTTAATGAATGTTAGTCTAAAGCCTCTGTGTTGTGACTCTTATCGAAGAGCTTCTGAAGACTTCTCAAGCTCTGAAGATTTTGCGCTTCCAAGTTTAAAGATTCCGAAGACCAAAGTTCTGAAGACTCTGAAGACAAGGTTATGGAAATAGCAAGTTTTGAAGACTCTGAAGACATGAGTTCTGGAGATTCTCTTTGATGTTTTGTTCCTTCTAAGCATGTTTCATCAACACACATTCTGAAGCCTCTTAAGAATTAGAAGATAAGATCAAAAAGTTTTACGTGAGTGAATAATACATGGTACAAGATTAAATGTTTTCACTACTATGATTTTGTAATGCAATGATTATACTATGGTACGATGTTGTCTACCACTCTCACTGACCGTTACACAAGAAGACAACTAGAATTAAGTATTTCTATTCTACCCTCCAACGAAATTCTTTTTGGCTATAAAAGGAAGACTTGGAATAATTGAAAAAGAAGAAATTTTATGCTAAACAATTTGCTGAAATGCTGCTCAACTTTCTACTGAAGTATCTTACGTAAAGTTTTGTAAAGCAAGGAAATTTTGTTCATTAACTTATAAGAAATGAAATTTTGTTCATTCAACTTGCTATTAACATTGTGTTATTTCTTTGTATTTCAATATGTGTAATATGCTTTCTAAGAAGCATCCTTGTAAATACACACTTTATGTTTCAACCTTGAAGTTGATAGTTCCTTGAGAAACTAGAGTATAGTCAGAATTTCTCAAGAAGACATTGATGGTTAGTCTTTGTGGTTTATAGACATTGACA